ATTCTCCTGCCTCAGCCTCCTGAGTAGCTGGGATTACAGGTGTGTGCCACCATGCCCAGCTAATTTTTGTATTTTTAGTAGAGATAGGGTTTCTTCATGTTGGCCAGGCTGGTCTCAAACTCCTGACCTCAGGGGATCCACTTGCCTCAGCCTCCCAAAGTGCTGGGATTATAGGCGTGAGCCACCGCGCCCGGCCTAAGTTCAGTACTGAGTTAATTTTTGTATGAGGTGAGAGATATAGGCTGAGGTTCACTTTTTTGCCTATTGAGGCCCCACTGTGCCAGCACCCTTTGTTGAATAACCTCTCCTTCCTCCACTGAATTGCTTTTATATCTTTATTAAAAATCAAAAGGCTGTAGCTGTGTGGGTCTCGCTCCAGTGTCTCCGTTTCGCTCCATCCGTGTGTCTCTTCCTCCATGAGCACCACGTAGTCTTGATGACTGGACCTTTTCAACAAGCCATGACGCCGGCTACAGTGATTTCTCTTATGTCTTTTTTCCAAAACGTTCTAGTCATCTGAGGTCCTTTACACACATACACACACATATAGTACCTTGTTTATGTCCACAAAAAGACACACTGGGATTTGGATAGGAATCACATTACATCTGTAGATCAGTTTTGGGAGAATGGACATTCCCGGCGTTTTGTAAATTTTGTCACACAGACCTGGTACACGTTTTGCTAAAAGTATATCGAAGTACTTTCTTCCCTTAAAGTGACTGGGGTGGTGGTGTGCTTTGAACCTGGGTTTCCACATGTCCGTGTTCGTGTAGAGAAATGCAGTTGATGTCTACGTGCTTCTTGCTTATTTTCATTCTCTCCTTTGCTTTCTGTTGGGCACATCCAGTTTTCTTCTGTTGGTTTAAAAGTTGTGTTTTTGTTCTTGCTTTGCCTGCCCTCAGGGCCATTTCCGAGACTTGAAATGTTTGTTTGCTTTTCTAATTTCCCCAGTTTCCCCAGGCAGCAGGTCGGTGCCAGAGGTGTCTAGGCCATGCAGGGTCACTGTCCTGACAGCAGCTCACCCGGCAATCTTCAGCAGAGGCGAAGCCTTCCAGCCCTCTGTCATTCCCTCAGTCCGTCACCTCCACTGAGACTGTGGTGGGCACTGGCCCTGTGCCATTTGGCAGTTGCTTCCAGCCCCGGGCACGGATTGCTCCCATTTCCAGGCAGCCCCACCTATTCCTCCCCCAGGTCAGTAAGGAGGAGAATCCCGCAGGCCCCAACTCGGGCAGGTCTCTTTTCTTGTGACCACACACAGATAACTAACTCTGTGGATCCTGGTGTCCCCTCTGGTCTGGCCGCAACTGCTTTCTCAGATAACTGGCTTTATCCTCGTTAACTTGGAGAGTCTTAGAACTAGAGTTTACCTGAGAAGAAAGGCCCTTAAAGACCATTTGGTCAATTTTTATTGATTTATTATTATTTTAAATAGAGACAAGTTCTCCCTATGTTGCCCAGGCTGGCCTTGAACTCCTGGGCTCAAGCGATCCTCCTGCCTGAGGTTTCCAAAGCGCCAGGATTACCAGTATGAGCCACAGCACCCGGCCTAGCCCAGTCGTTTTCAACCCCAGTGAACACATTAAACTGAAATGGAGAGTTGTAAAAATATCAATGTCTGGGTCCCCACTCCCCCGGCCCAATCAGTTAAATTAGCATTTCTGGGGTGAGGGGACTGGACATCAGTGTTTTTAAAAGCTCTCCAGGGCCGGGCATGGTGGCTCACGCCTGTAATCCCAGCATTTTGGGAGGCCGAGGCAGGTGGATCATGAGGTCAGTCAGGAGTTCGAGACCAGCCTGGTCAACATGGTGAAACCCCATCTCTACTAGTGTGCACCTGTAATC